CAGAGAAAGAAGTTGTGGAGGCATACGCGGAGCAGTCAGACAAGGACTTAGTCGAGTTCTTGAAATGTCGGAAAGAAGAAATTGTTGTTGGAGGAGTGTTGTTTATGTTGATGGGTGGTCGACCTTCTGGCTTAGTGGGCCAAGTCAGTGACCATGACTCACGTCTCAAGCACCTTTTCACAACTTTGATGGATCAAGCTTGGCAAGATCTAGTAGATGGGGTATATAATAAGATCCCATGATCATGACGTCATGTTTTTACTTTATAAACTGTTTTTTTTTTTTATGTTCTATATATGTATGGAATTGACAAAACCTTTTTTTTTAATTTCTCTGGTGAGTTTGTAAAGGGTTTAATAAAGAAGGAGATAAGAGATGGTTTCAACATTCCGGTGTATATGAGAAACACAGAGGAAATAGCGGCTGCGATTGAGCGTTGTGGTGGTTTCAAGATAGAGAAGATGGAGATATTAAAAATAGATGACCCTATGAATGCTAAACGGCATGAGTTTATGAAAGATCCTGATTCTTACGGTCGAGCCATGGCTAACTTAATTCAAGCCGGTCTAAAGCCAATGTTTGAGGCCTATCTCGGTACTGACCTGACACACAAGCTCTTCAAACGGTACGCAAATCGAGCTGCTTCCAACAAAGAATTTATCAAGAAGAATAGTTTCTATTTTGTGATCGCTGTGTCCGCGATTCGGGTTTGATGTTATCTATGTACATATATCATATATGCTTAGTATATATAGCATGTCAAAACATCTACGAAATCGTTTGACGCATGCTGGAATAAATTATTATTAGACAGAAACCCTTGTGTTTCGGATATATTATAGGGTTATCCTTCACTTTTAAAATTTTACAATCTTTCCCCTTTATTTTGTCGCTTCAATGAATTGGAGAAATGTTTGTCATTTGAGATATGATAAATTAGAAAGCATGGTTCGCAAAACTAAACATTTATAATACGTGAACGATGAGTAAAGAGAACCTCGTGACCACCAATGACACTTTACTACGTGACACTCATTAATTAAAACAAGGGAAAATATTTATACTTATATAGTTTTTACCCTAAAACTCAAAGAAACTATCTCCCACCACCCCGAATTCATTCCTCTCACGCGACACACCACCGTGGCTTCTTCTCCTTCACCACCAAGGTTCAAATCTTGAAGGCAATATCCCAACAACAACAACAAAAAAAAAAAAAACAATGAAAGATCTCTCTTTCTTCTTCCTCAAGAAATCCTATCTGGCCTCGAGAATGCGAGGAAGAGGTCCACGTGGTGGCTTCGCGAGCTCTTGTGGTGGCGATGGCTCGACTTCCACACTAAACCAACATCAAAAGAACGAAGCGGGACTATCTGTCACACCTGAAAACACTCCTTTCGGTGGAGGGTCGCCGAGAACGCTAGAGGAGATGATACTTCAGCTAGAGGTTGAAGAAGATATCGTTAGAAGAGCTAGACTTCGTGAATCTTACTACGGTACTTATGATAATTGCGACGATGATGATGATAAGTTATATCAGCCTGTTCGGATGTCATGCGTTAACAGTTCCGATATCTTGAGGTGCGTCATGCTTCTGTTGTATATATGTGCATACATACTAAACATGATTCATAGTCATGAGCTCAAATGAAATTAACAAAAATATTTGGTTTATTGATTTATATTTCGACTTACGAAAAAATTGTTACCAACAAAAAAAATTAATAATTATGCGATTGGAGACTAGAGAGTACGTTTTTTTCTTCTTGGAATTTTTGTTTCTGTATTGGTGAAACTTGTAGGTACAAGAAAAAGGTTTCTATTGTGTAATGATAAGCTACATATTATAATGTCATTCTGTTTCATTTGCTTGCCGTTAAGGTCGGCAAGGAACGCGTTGAACCAGTACCCACGTTTCTCGCTGGACGGTAAGGACGCGATGTACCGGTCATCATTCCGGTGCCAGCTCGGCGTCGGTGCTGATGTGGCAAGACAAGGTGGACGGAGATCAAACTGCGGGGACGAACGGAGATCGAGCCAGATGAGCTTAGAGACAAAACGCCTGCCTCGGAAGGTGGCTGGGGAGAGTGTGGTGTGGTGCGAGACAGGGGTGGTTGCGAAGCTGATGGGCCTGGAGATGATACCGGTTCCGGTCAAGGGCAAAAGAGGAAAAGATAAGTTAGGGACTCTGCTCAAAAGAGAGCGTCTAAGGAGGAGAGATCGGACGCTGGACATTAACGGTCGGAATGGTCAGACCACCGAAGCTTCTTGCTCGTCTGGAGGTTTAAACTCGATGAGACCAATCCGAGCGGCTGGGTCACCTAGCCACGTGGGTGGATGGCCCACGCTACGTTTCCCATAATATTACGTTTCAACTTGGCCCTTTTAAAAACCTTCATGTCAACCATTACTGGTTGTATCAGTGAACTTTTTATATGTTTCTTATAATTAACTATTTCCTCTCCCAACTCAAACAAATAAGCTAAAACTAATGGTCTCAAATAATATAAAGAAAGAACCATAAGGTATATATCTGTCTCAAGCTAATGTGTTGGTTTCAGACAGCGTTAGATGTTTATTGACGAGAAATATGCTTGAAATAACTTGAAAAAACTCAAGGCTTGGTGGGTTTTGTGCGGTATATCAGACGGGAACTCCTAGCTCAGACATCCTCATAATTCTTTTGTTCAATGCAATCCTCTTTTGTCTTAAGAGCGAAGTCATGGAAGCCACCTAATGATTGAAGACAAGAGAATTTGAATGGCCGTTCATAGCAACGAAGCTTAACAATGAGGAAGATGAGAAAAAAAGTGGACTCACTTCGGCTCTAAGCTTGATTGCTTCCCTCCCAGGAATTTGCCGCAGGCCATCCATTAAATCTGCAGAGAATTCAAGTCTCTATGTAAATTGAGGTCTGATGTAATGACAATATTTAAGTAGATTACAGAGCATGGATCTAAACTCATTAACTGCAGTGACACGTGGAATAAATGACTATTACCAATGGAAGGTAAAAAGGAGTAAACTATAAGATATGTAAATTCTTCTTACCTGTAGCTTCGCATTCAACCTTGTGGACGGAATTAGCAAGACGATGTATATTGTTTCCAGAATCCCTACAGTACAGATATATGACAGTAGTAGCCTTAATAAAGCAAATGAAGTCAATTAAGTAAAATAAGCGGGTCTGTCGACGTTGAGGCATACATGAGTTCAGAAAGACCGCGTTTCATATCCTTCTCTGCTAAAGCTGACCTTTCAAGCAGTTTCCTGCTCTCCTTTTTCATTAGGTCTACAGACATGTTCAACTCCTGGACATGCTTCTCAGCTTTCAAGAACTGTGCCTGAAGAGATAAAGAAGTGGATGAATAAACAAGAAAGAACACAAACCAGGGAAACTAAGTATAACAGCGTTAAGAAATAAATTCGAAGTCAGTGGCACGCTAGATACCTCTTCACTCTGAAATCGGCCTAGTGTATGACGGAACAAGAATCTTCTTGGGCCTGTAATTATTAGAACCATAGACAGCAGAATTTATACAAGACATATCTGAGAAATAGAGATGTGATACTTTTATGATGCTCCTTAGCAAAGGAATATTGTAAGTTATACCTCGCATAAGAACGAGACCAGCAGCGAGACCAATCCCAGCAGCAGCAGCCGGATGCTCCTTTGCGTATATCAATTCTTCTGAAAAGGGAAAAACAGCAGGGGATACCGAGTCAGATTTATGATTGATTCGTCATTACCAAACTAGTAAACCAAGCGAGGATTCGTCATCAGGACAGATAAGCACACTATTGGATGCAGTACAAATACGAGTGAAGGTTTAGGGAAAGTATCTATTATACTCAATGGTTTGTTTTGATACTCGTAAGCCGTAACCAAGCTTTAAAGTAGTCTACAAGCAAAAAAAAAAAACATGAAATTTGGCGTCAAGTTACCTGTTACTTTACTGAAGAAAGCATTTTCATAAGTCTTATACTGAGTCAAAGCATGTGGAATGAAATCCTGCAATTTCAGAAACAAAAGTAACTACCACAGGAATTTAGTAGGAGACGCGAAGACATATACATATACAGCAACTGAAATTGTGATCTCAGGTAGATAAAGATCAATTCCATAGCATATCTTTAAGCAACATGAATAGCTGATATCTTGAGAAGACATGGTGTCTTTGAAGAGATTAAGAAAAGAAAACTCAATGTTGGAAGATAATCAATAATCCCTCAGCGATACAATGCAGACTTCTAAACAAAATACTCAGTTTGAGAAAAGGAAACAGAATCAGATCCCAAGAGAGACTGTGATCACTGCCAATAAATTCAAACGCTATGATTCAACAAGATTTCACCATATGAACAATAACGGCTAAATGGAGCAGAATCTGTTTGAATCGAGCTCAGTTCCAGAAATAATAGCTTATGAAGGTAGATTGAATTCGAATCAATCCAGGATTTGAATCCTGAAAATTGTTGCGAAAGAATCTTCATTCGAGAAACTTATCGGTGCAAAATAGAAAGATAGAATAACCTGTATAGAGCGGAACTGAGAGGTAGAGTTTTCACGGAGGGAACGAGCAGAGCGAATGGCGGAATCCTTCGACTCCTTCACCGTCCGCTGGAAATCATCCACCCATTTCTCTGCTCCTCCTATGGCCTCCTCCACCGAATCAACCACCGCGATTGCTGTATGCTCCGTCGCATCAGCAGCGACTGCAGTCGCTGAAGCCGATTCATCGGTAACGCCGGTCGCTTCGGTTTCGCTCATCGTCGGAGATTACCTTTCTGGTACCGAGACTTGACCCTTCTCCTCTTTCAATTTCAACTTTCACCGGTTCGTTTCGACTCGGTTCGGTTCGGCTCAATTTCATTCCAATTTGGAAGTGGTTAAGGTCGGGTTAGCTCAGATTGCGATTAATGGGCTTTAGATTGGGTCTGCATCAAAATAATTCTCTCTTTCGTCTTCTTTTCCTCATTCATTCCTCTTTTCTTCTTCTCCCACCATTTCTGCTGCAAACCTCCAAAAAGATGAAAATATAAAGGTTAGCTTCCTTATTGTGGAGATTTTTAAGAAGGATCAGATAACTATTTCCTCTGGATCTTCAAAAAGTAGGCACATTTACAAGGTATGGTTTTGTTTTAGTTTATTTTATTATTTTGTTTTGACAATTCTATGTGCTTAAGAATTGGGAGTTTTCTTTTCATGGATTTGCTCTGATTTATTTTTAGAGACAGTTTTGGGTCATCAGTTTTTCTTCTTGGGGATCAATTGTTTAATTAGTTTATTCGTGTTTGTATAAATTAAGAAGCTTAAATTATTGCAAATCACCTAATATTTTCCTGTCTGAATCTTGGGCAAATGATCTTAATGACGATGATTCTCCTCGTTTTATTGTAACTTTTGGGAATGCCAATCTCTTTAATTAGATCTGCTGAAACTGAACTTAAACGGGTGGAAGATGGGCAAAATAAAGATGGAAGCTTTATTGGTTTTTCATCCTGTATCCTGTGTTCTTCTTACAGAAACGAGAGATATAGAGAGATTTTGGTGGGGAAGGAGAGAACGAGGAAAAAGCAATGGCGGCTAGGTATTGGTGTCATATGTGTTCACAAATGGTGAATCCAATTATTGACGCCGAGATCAAATGCCCATCTTGCCAAAGCGGGTTCGTCGAGGAGATGAGCGGTGACATTAATGGCGGCAGCAGCAGCAGCTTAAGGGAGGTTCAAGACCAAGAGATCGATTTAAACCATGCATTGTCTCTACTGGGTCCAAACTTGCTTGGAATGATGAACAATCCTCGGAGACGTAGAAGGTTTAGGAGGACAGAGTTTGGTGTGAGTAATGATGAGGTCAATGGTGTTGCTAATCTTGATGGGAATGACAGCAATGTCGATAATCATCATCATCATCGTCGTCGTCATCGCCACAGGCAACACGATGGAGAGATTGATTCAGATAGAGAGTTTGAGTCTATCCTGAGGAGGAGACGGAGAAGTTCAGCTGCAATATTGCAGTTGCTTCATGGCATTCGTGCAGGGATCAATTCCGAGTATGAGAGCTCGGAACGGAGCACGTTTAATGAATCAGGTGTTGTTCAGGGATCGACGGGTTTGAATCATAACCGGAACAATACTTCACTTTCTTCAATAGGAGATTACTTTGTTGGACCAGGGTTAGACCAATTGCTTGAACATCTAGCTGATAACGATCCAATCAGGTACGGGACACTTCCAGCAAGAAAAGAAGCTGTGGAGAATCTCCTAACGGTTAAGGTATGTGAGCCATTGCAATGTTCGGTTTGTTTGGATGATTTTGACAAGGGAAGTGAAGCTAAAGAGATGCCTTGTAAGCACAAGTTTCACGTCCGGTGTATATTACCGTGGCTTGAGCTTCACAGTTCGTGTCCCGTGTGCCGATATGAGCTCCCTCCTGATGATGAGATAAAGGTTGATTTGGTCAGACCGAGAACAAGAACTCTAGAGATCAACTTAAGTGATGAGAATGTGGAAGATGGTGCAAGGAATGGTAATGGGAGTGAGAGCAGATTCTCTTTTCCCTGGCCGTTCAGCGGATTATTCTCTTCTTCCTCTTCGTCATCTGCGTCGGCTTCAGGGTCTTCTCAGCCCAATCAAAACTCATATTCAGGATAAAAGAGAGAATCGTAAACAAATCCATCTATGCGTTTCTCTTGGATCACTATTCCTCAGCTTCAACCAAGTATATAAATCTTGTTCACTCAGATTGTTGAAAATAAATAAACGGTTTGGAGGAATCGGATCTTTTCTTTCTTTGTTTTTACATCATCTTGCTTGATTCATGTGCTGCGTATACATGTTATCACTCTCAAGCTATTTGCACTTGGCACAAATGAAGATGATGATCATATGGTTTAGTCCGAGTTAATCGACAGTTGGCGTTTAAAACTTTACTTTGTAAACAAAAGATGAAAAAGATGGGCCCAAGTTGAGAAGATTTGGTGGAAATTATGTTGACAAGGAAAGGCATGTGATTTTGTGGTTGTGCACTGCATCTCACTAGCTCCAAATAGGAGGAATTCCAATGTTGTATAATCAACTAATAACCAATTGAATTTGTTGAATAAAAGGAAAAAAAAAGTTATAAGAAGTCAACAATAGCGAAATCTAAACTGACAAAACCCAAAAATCTGAAACTAGTTCTTGAATTAATAAGTACATTAAAAAGAAAACATAGTTAATACGATATCTATCACTAGACTTGACGGTCGAGCGTTTTGCGTAACATTTAAGAGAAACGATCTTCGTATTGAAGGTGACATGAATTATATATGGTAATACTTAACCGAAGTAACCCTCCAATGCTCTTTCACAGATTGCTGTGTTTTCTTGTGTTGCACCATGTGAGAAATTCCAATGCAAAATTGGAGAAGCATGCATATAATATGCTTTTGCAAAAACAAATTTTGAATTATTCGAAACTGCGATATAACTTAATTATCTAATCCATACTCTCATGCCATCAAATCTCGGCACAAAAAAGTTATATAAAAAGAGGGGAAAAAATCAGATAAATTGGATGCTGCATTTTGACGAAACTCTAGGGATAGCCATTAGAATAGCTCGCAAGTATTTACTGTTGAAGGTGCTTTCTTCAACGCCAACTTTCACAGTTTCAAGACATTCCAAGTTCCCCAAGAAATGCCTCATTTGGTGTAACTCTCCAAGGCTTCCTCTGAACCCTGTAATCTCTAGCACCTTCACTTGACAACTCGACAAACAGCATACCATCTCGTTTTGGATGATGCAAGGGCACGCATTTCCACACCACTCTGTAACTCTGTGCACAAGACCCTTGAACCACAACAAACAGACCACACCATTTGATAGACATGTATAAACGGCAACAGAGAAGAGAAATGTGTCTTAAAAGATAAAAAAAAAATTGATACCTTAATGACTAAAGTTTGTAGATTTGGTGAGTTGCAGAGCAGGCGTGGGATTACTTCCCAGCCTTTTTCCTCGTCACTTTCTATAGATAAAGTAAGTAGGTTGTTGAGCACAGGCATGGAGTCGCAACAAAAGTGAAACACCTGATATATAGACCATTATCATTAATGATAGATATTACTAGCATTAAATTAACTCTCTTGTATGATGAAGAAGAAGAAGTAACAGAAAAACTGACCTGAAGAGAATGAGCAGACAAGTGAAGGCTCTTAATGTTTTTCATCCCATTAATCAGAGTTGAAATATCGCCACGGATTTCCTTGAACACTGGACGACCATCAGCATCTAATCCATATAATCGAAGATCCAGTCTAGCTTCGACAAGAGAATCCAAAGCAACAACATCATATGTTGCAACATAACTAGAGTAGTCAAGGTACAGCAGACTCTTTGTCTTAAGAGTAAGGCCACTGTATTCATAATGGTCAGCAAAATCACTAGTGATAGTTAATCGCTTGACGTATGGAGTCGACAAGTAGCCCATCCAAACATATATAAATAACTCCTCTAACGCAGGGCAGCCTCTGACGAAATGCTTCTCCATTTCATGAGATAGAAAGTAGACTGAAACAAGTGTAAGTGTTTTGAGCGCAGGGAAAAACACTCCTCCAAGAGGAAGACGACCTTTAAGACAAAATTTATCGGTAATTGTGAGCTTAACCAGTGTGTTGCTTGTGAAAAACTCAGAATCTATAAAGTTTCTTAAATTTGACTTTAAGTTTAGCTCTACGCAACCCCGTCCCAGAGCAGTGCGAATCCAACTATTGACACGAGATATGTCATTCTCATAATTACATCTTAGAGAGAATTTCTTGATGGTAGAATTGCTTAACAGATCAAGTGTTTTGTCCACGAAATCAGAGAAGCGAGGTCGTCGTCGACGACGACTTTGACGACGACTTTCAATACTTGTTGGTTCTTCTTCTCCGTCTTTTCTGTCGGAATAAAGAAGCATCAATTCATCAAAATCAAGGCTGTCTACAAGAGGAAGCAAATTCAACCACCTCTTGGACAGAACCGCGGTCGAAGCAGCAAGTTTGGTCGGAACTAAAGACAGGATTTTGCCAAGAACATCATCTGGCAGATTGCTGATCCGATCTGTAGCCATTAGAGACAGAATATAACCCCTTTCTTAATCCTGCAAAAAAACATATAAAAACCTTGATGAGAAACAACAATTCGAGGGTTATACAAACTATAAAGTTCTCAAAATTATAAAATAGATTCACAACGGAAAGAACACAAAAAAACTAAACTCTGCGATAGAAATCACAGATTAAATAACACCAACTTGGATTTATCAATGGCTTCTAGTAAGATCTAAAACAAGGTACCCCGATTCTAATTCCTGCCTCAAAATAGCCAATTTCGATTAACACAATAGAGAAATATACCTAGAGTTTACAAGATAGGTTTATCAATGGCTTCTAGTAAGATCTACAGAAATCTCTAAGAAATTGGATAAAAGAAAGAAACCTGTCCTTCCTTTTTTTTATGATTTTTTCCTTTTTTTAATCATTTTTTATTTTTATAAAGATGGAAAGTCATGCGGATAAAAAAATGTAAAATCGTCCTACCAATAGAAATTTAACGTGTGGAATGTATTGCTTACGTGGCTAAAATATTAAGGGTAAAAAGTTATTTGTATCTCAAAATACTAGGTGCGCACTTAGGTTTATGGTTTAGTTTCGGTTTGGTTTTTCGATTTTTTTGTTTTAAGAAATTCAAACTATATAAAAACTATATATATATATATATTCTGGTTTGGTATGATTTAATTTTTATGGTTTTCGGTTTATCAGTTTTATAAAAAATAAAATCATATATATATATATATATCAATTTTCAATTTGGTTCAGTTTGATTGCAATTTTTAATTTATTTTATACAATAAAGAGGACAAACAAAGGTATGAAAAACACAACTCTATTCACCTGTTTGGAGATTGAAAATATGAAGATGGATACCAGCTCTGGCTAGATTCAAGTCCACACTGATTTAGATTAGAAAAGTTTCTTTAAATTGTGTTTTTTCTTAAACTTGTAAACATCTAGATGTAAAACAGTTTTTTTTATGAATAATTCTAGGGGTGAACTTCTTTATTCATCCCTAGGGGTAAATTTCTTTATTCACCTCTCTCTATTATAACAAATCAATATATGCCATGTAAAATTTAAAATGAATTAAAAAATAAAAAAAATAAAATAAAAACGAATTAATAATAAAAAATCAAAAATTTATTTTTAAATTATAAACTCTAATCCCTAAACTCTAAACCATAATATATAAATTTTTTTTAAAAAAGAACTAAACTCTAACTCCTAAATCCAAATATTAATTTAAAAGAAAATAAAAATATAAACTAAACCCTAAACCCTAAATCTAAATATTAAATTTAAAAAAAAATAAAAATAAAAAATAAATCCTAAACCCTAATCCTTAAACCAAATATTTTATTTGAATAATATAAAGTTTTTAATTTTTTGTGATAAAAAAGTCAATTTACTTTAATTGTTTTATAAAGATAATATTCATTATTGTAAATCTTAGATGACATGTTTTGATTGTTTTATAAAGATAATGACATAGCTAGCTAAAGTACGTGTATATATACTTCATACTATAAGAGCATCTCCAACGGGTATTACTTAGGGTTCATAAGTGGGCCCGTTTTTATTTTTTTGGTTTTAAAATTAATAAAATAACTCATACTCAGTAATACGGTATGATTAGAGTGATCTTGCTGAACCGGTATGAGTGGAGTATCACTGGACAGATGTTAGCATATGAGAGGTTGTTGTGGGGAAGAAAAAATTTCATCGGGCTTTCTCTTTCTCGACCATTTTTCTTCTCATCTGTTTTTTCACCGACGAACTGGTGCAGGTTTGGGATAATCTGGTTCTTCGTTTGTGTCGTTTGATTCTTCTTCCTTTAGCGGTTCCCTCTCTACATCTCGCGTTGTAAGCTCTTCTCCTCCAATTTTTCGTTGTGTAATTGCTTAATGGATGTTGTTGCAATGGGTATTTTTTGTTTTTATTGTTATAATCCAAACAAATCTCGCCAATCGATTTATGGGTTTATGTGGAAAAAGTCTGCTTCGTTTAGCTACCTGTTTGCTTATAACAAGCTTCTGCAATTAATCAATTAAGAACTTTTACTCGGTGGGAGAAGCCTTTCTGGTTACTCGGTGGGAATTTTAGGCCAAATTAATTGAGCAGATAAGAGGCGTAGATAAATGTTTTAGATAAATGTTTTGACGTTAGTGCTCGTATGGTCGGTTTCATTTTCATCTTATCTTAGATTCATATCTGCTTGTGGGTTTAGTCTCTGGCTCAGTAATTTAGTCTCCATTTTTTCTTCTTCTTTCAGAGCAAGCTCTTTGATAAGACTGTCGAGGAATGTGACCAGAATCACCAGCACAGGCTTGAAAACAATGAGAATCTTTACAAAGCCTTTCAGCATTTTGACAAAGACAGCAGCAGGTAAGCGACGACCTGGTTCATCTTTTTCTTAACTGATGATGTATTTATAAGCAAAAAGATGGTGAACCTTTTTTGTAATCTAAACTGAATGTATGCTTCTTCTGTCTTGCCATATATATTTGCAGTGCCATTTGCTATGCAAAGAGTTCATCGTAGAGACATGGCAGATATATAATTTTCAGAGAACATGTGATCTGGCAACTTCTCTCTTGGAAAGATCTTCACAAACTGGTGTGGGAAGGATCGATCCTGCAAACTGCTCTAAAAGGGTATGAGATCGAGCTTTCTTGGTCAGGTGATGTTCTTCTTCGCAATGGAGTCCCACTCATCTATCCAGACATGTAAGCCAACGAATGGGTTGCTGTTCATGGAGTTAACCAAATGATCGCAACACAAGCAATACAGCCTAAACTGGGAGAATCTGTCTCATTGCTGCAAGAAATAAGGACAAGGAGAAGAAGTGTACTCTCACTGTTCGATGCTTTTCTCTACCTAAAGTCACCACCATATATGCCTTTTGCACCATTGTTGTAAAACCTCTGTTTTTTTTGAGGTTTTTCTTTTCAGTGGATGTGCCAGGCGTTTGTGGTGATGCTGTTGACGTGCTTGCTAATTAGAATGAACTTTAGATTCTATGTTGAGGTTAAGAACGTGTATGACTTGGTATGTTATGTATCACTTGCACTTAAAAATGAGAATCAGTTACAGACCAGAGCAACTAGACGAACATAGTTCAAAACTACAAGATGCTATGTATCATGTCCACTCACCCTTTGACGCTATAGATCTTCACAACCATTGTAGTTAACCACACGCCTCACACTCTCCTAACAATATTTTCCCTAAAAATTATTATTTTATTCTGATGATACTCAAAAACAGGTTTAGGGTTGGAGGTGATTTTTGGTTGGAGATGACTACTATTCAAAAAACAAAAAAAAATAATAAAAAATGCCTATAAACCCTTCCAATAAGTATCATGGTTGGAGATGCTCTAATGTTTTTTGGGGATTTTTTGAGAATAAAGCAACGACGACGACTACTATTTGGAGAGAATGTCGATCACTTTTAAAAAAGACTATTTATTTATTGTATTCTTATTTAGTTACCTTAAATTGATTTTTTTCTACAAATTTTGAGACTTGGTTGACAAGCCATATTTTAAATGCGGCCAGATCCTTTCCGTTCAATTTTTTTTTTCCTGAGTTTGATATATTTTAGGTTGCGGAACAGTTCCGTTACTTAAAAAGCTTTTCCTCAAAATGTCACAGTTTTTTAAAACTTTATTGTTGAAAAATAGTATTATGTTTAAAACTTTTTGTTAATGGTTATCAAAATTTCATCAAACTTACAATAACTGGTATACCTTTGGGCAAAATAAATACATTAGTCTATTTTAACTAGAGATGGGTTATTTAAATATCCAAATTTTAAAAGTCCCAAAAATGCATTTAACTCTATCATTAAAATGGTTAGTCATCAGACTATTTAAAATAGTGCCAAAAAATTGATAATTAACACTGATAGTTGATTAAAATCAAATTAAAAAAAAAAAAACTGAAACCCTGACTAAACCTCTTGCAACTACACCCAAAGAGAAGTACCCACTAATGATGGAGTCTACCGTTGGAGCAGAAAATCATACGTCGATATCGTATTTGGAGACCAGTTTGTCTTTGTGGAGAGGTGTTCTCTGGAGTGTGTTGAAAAAAAATTTTACAAATGAAAGAGAAGATAACGTGTTCAGATGGGGATGCTAAAGTATAAACACTCAGACTAAACAGAGATTCATGACAATCTTTGGTTATCAAACTGGAAAAAAAAAATCATATGTCTGCCACACATTCACACTGCTGTAGCTCATTTCAGTTTGCTTTGAAAGTTTTTTTGGTTCAGGTTCATATTTGAGTTTGGTTAGGTTTTGAATACTAAAAGTATGATCCAAAAAAATACATAATTAATTTGACAATTTGTGTGATAACTGAGATCACGAATTCAAAACCTCAAAAGCCTGAATATCGTTTTCATAAGCGAAATCATCTAATAAATTGATATTATATTCATGTACAAATTTTGCATTACAACAATTTACTATTGTTTTTATAATTTTTTTTAGTTAAAGTTGTTTAGTATTTTAGATCTTTCTCATTTCTAACTATAAACGTTTATTCAGTTCAACATGTCAAACACTTCAGTTTTGGAGTGAGTTAACAAGAAATTGATGAGAAGATTTGGAGCTAACTGCTGAGTCAAAATTGGGCAGAATTACAAGATAATCATAGAAAAGTGAAGGCTCTTAGTGTTGTTTATCTCCTGAATCAGACTCGTAACTTTCACTGACAATGGACCATCATCATTATAAACATTTGACTCATATAATCGAAGATCCAGTCTAGATTCGATAAGCAAATCCGAAACAACATTATCATCTCCTGCGGCATATACAGATAGTCAAGGTACACATGAGTAAGTGTTTTAAGCTTAACTTAGTTGAAGTCCACAAAGTTGAAAATCATCATCAAAATCACTAGTGATGGTATTCACTTGACATATGGACTCGACAAGTTAATACAACTCTTGAACAGTATATCACTGCTATTTATAAACATGTCAATGGATTTTTCTCTATTTATATCCAAAGCTGTTAGAAATAAAATAAATAAAAAATATTTTCCAAAGAAAACATTTTCGTTTTACTCTTTTACCCATATTTTGTGTTCATTCTGTGTACATGCATATCCAAACTCCTTGTAGACCATTAAAGAAAAGTTAAAATCTCAGATTTTGGTATTATGGTAAGTCATAGTATCTCTAATAAGTATTTATTAAGTGGTTTTTCAAGTGGTATCTCAACATAAAAATAATAATAAATAAAAAAGAGAAGTGGAATCTTTTCTTTAATGAAAATTTTTTTGAGATAAATATGAAAATTTCATTTAACACTTGCTTCTTTTTCATTGGTTTATTTTTTTATTTTTAAATTAAATTAAATTACATAAGTCAACTATATTTAAATATTAATATTTTTATTGTTTGAAATATTCTTAGAAATTCTCACCAATGAAGATGCTCCTAAGTCTTAATTCAATGGGGACAGAGAGACACATTTGTTGGAACGTACAACCACATGTCCGAATGAAAATCATTTTCAAATCTTATTAGGGCTTTGATTGATAACTTTGCGGAATGGCGGAATTGCGGAAAAAATCTTGCGGAATAAATTAAGCGCCTTATAAGTCGCTTTTCTGCGGAATGACTTTTCCTTTGTATTTTTGTTAAGTTGTGTGTATTTTTTCATTACACGAATTTTTGTTGATTGGCAAAAAACTTACGGAATTGTGTTTAAAAACGCAATTCCACCATTCCGCAAGTTACCAATCAAAGCCTAGGTTTCGTATTTTTCGTTACACGGAAGCACAGCTAGAATGTGTCATCTGCTGTTTCCCTTAATTAAAGCCAGAAGATGAAAAGAAATCACCAAGCTTTTACGAGCTCTTGGCTGCAGTTGTAGTGAATACACCACCAACTGCTCCTTCTGATCCATTCTCACCTGAGTTTTGCACCTTTATATCATCCTGGTATTTATTTGGTTGCAGTTGCAAAATCATCTTGTTTTCATCACCAAAAAAAAAAAATACAAAGATTATTGACGTTTGCTGGTATTTATTTGAATTAACAACAGCATACACAAGGATCCTCCAGCAAGATCATCCTCTCTTGACCTATTGGTTCGTTATAGTGATAGAGCCACTTACATTAAATCAGAGTCATTCGCCCCAATAAATTTTAAAAAGTTGGTGTAGTTTATTAAAGCCTAACTAGATTCTAACCTTGTGCGTCCGTACGGGAATTGTTTTTCTTGTTTAACGAATTTTGTAATACAATTTATGTTTTTTGAATTTAGATATAAATATTTTATAGATATATTTTTATAATAAGTGAAATTTTTTTTTTTGTTTTTAGATATAATTTTTTTTTTGTTAATTTAATTTTTTATACTATTAAAGATAACTATAATTATAAAAATATAATTTTAACACGTCTGTTCATATTAATCCAAAAAAATAATAATTATAAAAGCATAATTCTAACTTATCTGTTCATATTATCATATAATATAAAAATTTATTAAAAATTTAAAATGTATGAATGATATTTTATTTAGCATAGAATATCTTATATAGTTTTCTAAATTTTAATCTAAAATAAGTGTATGCAATAAATTTTAATTAATTATTTCTGTTTTTTTGTATGAAAAAATATATTTTTGGGTATACATGTATGATTCAAAATTAGTAATTTTAGCTACCAAAATATTTTTAACCTGGTTTTTATATATATTTTCAGTTCTATGGTTTATTAAAAATATGTTTTAATATTTAAATTATACATTTGATTCTTATCCATTATTTTATCATTAATTTATATATAAATCATAATCGTAAATGTTTTATATAATCAACATAAATATCATATCATTTACATCATCATAAATATTTTATATTTTAAATATGACCATTATTTTCTATATGTAAATTATATTTTCAAAAAAGTATTGGTATTTTTGATAAAGGTTTTTTAATAATAAAGAAATTATTTAAATTAAAATATTTAAATCAAATCTAAATTAATATCTGATTTATTATTTTAAATCAAATCAAATCAAATCTAAATTATCTATATTTAATGAAATCTAAAAAAAATTAAAATTTTCAATAATTTCCAGAATTAAATATAAATCATGTTTTAAAGTGTTTGGATGCAAACACTAAAAGTGTTTCTGTTTTAATATAATAGACTAGATTTTAACCCCGTGCGTCCGCACGAGAATGTTTTATTTTTTATTTCTAATATAAGTTGCATTTATCTTTTTTGTTTAGATATAATTTATTTTTGTTATTTATTTTTTAAAATCAAAAAATTGTTATCATATTTTAATTTTAAACAGTAAAATTTGTATATTAGTAGAATAAGAGTATACGTTAATTAAGTATACATTGATCTAATATTAATTATAAACTTTGTTATTATGTGAATTTAGATTTACACATAAACAATCTATATATCTATGAATTTGCTAATTTATCCGTTTAGTTGTCTTAAATCTTTTTTAATATCTTACATGTTTTGACGAACTAACCCGTATAAGACTATATATAATTATAATTGTATAACCCTATAAATAATTACTAATATGGAATATTTGGACCAACTGATTATGAAAAAATATAATAAGATATTTATTTACTATTTGTGCTATTAAAAAAATGTATATATATATATATATATATATATATAAACGGGCTAACCTGTTAGTTTAATTGTCTTAAATCATCTTAATATCTTACATGTTTTAATAAATTAACTCATGGACCTTAAATATATATATATATATATAACTCTAATCAGCTCGATCATATTATTGTATAATACAAATATTTATTAATCTCAAATATTTGATATTTTAGACCGATTGTTTATGATAAAATACGATAAAATATTTATTTACTATGCATTTTTATAAAAAATTTATTTAAATTTTAAATTTTAAATTAAATCTTTTCTGTATTTAAAAAATTCTAAAGTATTAAAATTATTATCTAAATTTTCGTAATAAAATTTAATTATAATTTTTTTGAATTTAAATTAAATTGAATGCAAATTTTTGTAACTAAATTTAATTAAATTACTAATAATTTGAAATTTAAATTAAAGATGACCTAGATTTTAGGAAATCTAAAAATATCTAAATTAATAACTAATTTTCGGAAATTAAATATAAAAATAAAATAAAATATTATAAAAAAAATTTTGGGAGTGTTTGGATGCAAATACTAAATGTGCTTCTGTTTTAATAAAGTAGATAGTAATACCTTCACTCATGAAATAATATGTATCTTTAATAATTTATTTATGCCCCTCAATGAAAAAAAATTTCTGGTTCTGCCACTGGATTCATAGATCTTTATTACTCGATTGCTTCAAAATAATTTCTTTAAAGAACTATATTTGTTTATCTTTGATGGAACATTCTTTGATCTGTATTTAATTCATCAAGAAGTTCGATCAGGACAAGGAAATTAATCTTTTTTTTTATTAACAAGGAAATTAATCTTGAGATGCATGCTTAAGGAGAAGTTCCATTTCTTGCTTCTGGTTAATATAATATATTTTTTTTCCCACTGTTAATATAATATATAAACAAAGGGATGATAATAAGGATAGCTCTTAAATCATACACAAAAGGAAGGTATTCTTATTATAGGAAACACAAATGATCTTTAACAAAAAAAAAAAAATTTATAGGAAACACAAATGAAACAACACATGACATTACTCAGAATATTTAAGGAAATCCCATTTCTTGCTTCTGGCATATATTATATCTCTATCTTATTATTTAACTAGACATTTTTTTTAAAATGAACCTTAATTTATAAGATATTACAAAATATTTTGCATAAATAAATATTTATTAATAAAATATTACTTAAATAAATTTTTACTTATAAGATATTACATAACTAAACTTTACAAATATAGAAAGTTTAATTAAATATTCCTTTGTAAAAAATAGAAAAATATAGAAGTCACACATTTATTTTGAATATATATGGAAATAAATCAAAAATGTATTTAGTTTCTTTACTTTTTAAAATATTAATATATAATATATTATTTAAATAATAATCAATCCATATTATATTAATTTTTTTTTAACTTTTGCAATATTTTTTATTTGTATTTTCATAATTTATTAGTATTATTTTTGAAAATCTATTCAATTATTTTTGTAAAAAAACTGAAATCTTAGTTTTCAAATTTTAAAATTGTATTTTTTACAGGTTGCTCGAAAAAAATATTTTACTAAATTACCAAAATATATTAAGTAGACGGATTTTTATTTTGACAATCTTATAAATAATTATTATTAAACACATATTATAAAATTTATTAACTAAAAGTGATAGTTTGATCTCTAATAAAATATTTACAATTAAATTTGTATTTAATAAATAAATTTTTATATATATATATATTTAGATTCTAATCTATGATATGTATATAAGTGTATATATATATATTAATATCATAGTATATATATATATTAATATCATAATATATATACATTAATATCATATCACTTTCATATTTAAAAACTACTAATAACTAAATCGCATAACAAAATTAGCTGAAAATCTTGTTTGATGAATATAGATATAAGTAAATATATGTTGAATAATATTTATATATGTATTGTTATATAACTGTCATCAATTTTATTTATTTTTATTTTTGTTAAATAATTATTGTCATCAATTCTTATTTAACCAAAAAAAATTTTAAAACATAACCCTGCACAAATATGCAGGTTAATTCCCTAGTAGAAAGTATAAACATATAGCTAGGGTTGATAATAAGGATAGCTCTTAAATCATAAATCAAAGGAAGGTACTCTTATTATAGGAAACACAAATGAAACAACAACACATGACATTACTTAGAATATTAAAACATGAACCTTAAAGGAACAAGCTACTTATTATTACAACAATGGATTCTAAAACATAACTCACCTTACATCAAAGAAACAAGCTAATTATTTATTACAAAAATGCATTCCAAAACATAACTCAGAACTTCAAACCGGAATCTTTGAGTCTCTCCTCCATGATCATGTCGATTTTGTTCCCCATTTCCGGAGTTAGATGATTCTTCCAATCACCAACTATCCCTTTGCGGAAATGGTTTTTGTAATCCATGCCATTGATCGATGTTCCGGTCTTGTTAACCTCCAAACTGATCAGGTTAGGCAGCGAACACATCTCCAAGATCTTTTCAACAGATCCATTCTTTTCTTCTTCCCCGGAGAAGGGACAACCCAAGAACTCCGCAATTTTCATGAGCTGACCGGTAGGATCTGTCTTCATTTCATCGTACCTCATAAAAAGCACATGTTTTGGATTTTCCAGACTAACTTTCCAATAACTCAGTATATGATCCCAGAACGGACCAAAGAAGCCAACTCCGCTCCATAAGGACTCAAACATAGATTCAAGAATGCTTCTGTCCTCTTCTTTATTCTGATCTCACAATATTAAATAGAAACATCGAATGTCGGGAATGCACACCTGACAATCTGAGTAGAATGTGGTGTAGCGGTCAGATAAATCGTAGAGGTACTCGCACAGCACGCTCGGCAACAAGTTGGAGCAAGCTTCCACCACCGTCTGCAAATCGTTCACACATGTGTTTTGCAATTGATCATCTTCTTACCACGAAAAACAAGTCAAATGAGATAGTAGTATCTGATGAGCATGCGTTACCTCCGCAAATCACCTCCGCAAATCGAAGCAAGTGAAGCCCCAGTGCTCGCTCTTCTGCATGATTCAATGCTAGCTTTCCTGTCTGCAACAAAACAGGTGTTGAAACGTAAGAACTTTCTCTTTATCATACTGTTTATGGTAAACTTATAACAGTCTTTGTTCTATCTTATTTATGAAAATGTGAAATTAGATAGAACAAACCCAAGGAAGAAAAATTAAGACAAAAGGGCTTAGGGTGTGCAAAAAATTAAATCTTAAGACTTCCAAGAACTAAATGATTAATGTAGACACTGGCATGGAGTTGGCAGTTAAAAAAACTACTGACAATTGTGATTGCTTTCAAAGCAACTAGATTTTAAATAGCAATTCCTTTAATATCCAAGTTGGAGGCAATTGGAAAGTTCAGGTGCAGCCAAGAGGAAGAACAGAAAACCAAAAAGTAATTAAGCCATCGGTGTTCATGCGGCTAAAATACCTTTTTCAGCTCATCTATGTCTTTGCCAGACTTAGTGATGATTGAATAGATCCGAGCATGGGCGTAAAGAAGGTACACGGCTGTATTTCCCTGCTCATGACATGTGACCAATGAGCATGTGTAGGTTGAGCATAAATGCAATATGCACACTAGGTGGCAAATTCCAGTACCTTGCCACTAAGCATTTGATCGAAGCTGAAAATATAATTTGTCGTTCTGTTGTTCTTCAGGTCAGCATACCTAAGAAAGAAATTAAACAAAACCGCAAGTTAGCAGTAGCATGAAATTACTAAAACCACTATCAAAACATCTGGTAGAACACTCATCACATTTGTGCAGGCTTGATTACAAACATCACCAAAACGAGGAGGATAAAGACATTACTTACTTCACCGCACCATATCCAACTGCCTCAGCTGTTTGGTCCAGCTCCTCAGGAGTCCATTCTTTGTCCTTGCCTAAACAGAGAACAAGGCAAGATAAGACCACATAATAACTGAACAAGTGAGCGGTTCAACAGTTCAAAACGTAAAGAGTGCTGACACAAAGTTAGATACCGCGCTCAATAAGGGCAATTTTACTGCGAGTCTTGGCCTCGTCTAGCAAATCAACTAGGCGGACTACTTCTGCACACCGAGTTCTAAATCGCTTGTTATCTTCCCCGAGGACGAGACCAAAACCAACATGGTCAACTCTAGGGTAAGTTTTATCACTGTCTGTAAGCCAACCAGCTTTCCTGGCAGCCTGATTCATAGTAACAGGATAACCACAGCACTGTTACGACTGAGAGTTATAAGCAAGACACGTAAAAAAAAACAATAAAAATTCATCAACCCTACTTTGAAGAACATATTAAAGTGCTGCTGCTGGCCAACATCGGTCACATATATGATCCACTCAGCTTTCTCTTCACTAAGCCGATACCTGGGCCAGGCAGATTTAGCATCAGCAGACAATTCATTAAAACATTACGCAAGTTCAGGTCAAGCCACACACTTCAGCAAATACAGACAAAAAGTCATAATATATGAAATATATATCCAAAGAGTGCTACTAGAATACAGAACCTAAAGAAGAACTAACTGAAAGATAACCCACCAAAGAGCAGTCAGATCTGTTGAGGCCTAGTTAAAACCACCGTCACTCTTAACAACTATGAGTGGGATGTTGAAGCCTTCGAGGAAAATCATACGAGCACCTTCACTTTCTTCAACCAACCCCTTGCTATTTAATTCCTCCCTGTAATGTATCAATGTATATTTCATTACCCATCCATGTTCCTCTTTTCCATTATGTCTCAAATCATATAGTATCGGTCAATCTATTCCTTTACTTTTTCTTCAAGCTCAACTCGAAGGCGTTGATAAACCATGGAAAACTCGGTTCGGCTGATTTCACAAATCTTAGCCCAAGCCTTTCGTGTTACCCAATCTGTACCTTCCAAAGCAATCATGAATACTTTCTACCAATGACTCCAAGCTTTGAGACGCAATGGCTCCCACCTGAACCAGAGTTAATGTTTTTTACTTCTCTTTTTCAAAAACAAGTTTAATCACTGAACCTACTGGCATTGATTTACCAGAAGTAAAGAGAGAGATTTAAAAAAACCAAAATTTCACCGGATCTCGTTTAACCAAGAAAAAAACAATAAACTGCAGCAACACCAAGAATAAAAGTTGTCGGATTAAGACTAAACCTCAAGCAGTGAGTTCAGGTGATGAAATGGATATCCTTATGTAATCTAGAGAACATCTTTCCAAGAAAGCTGCAACATACAATTGAGCCCCCCAAATATGAAGACACAGACCTATTGACTAAAGCTTCCAACATGTTGACTAATGCCTTTGTTCTCAAGACTGGCATTAAGTTCAAAAATCAAGCTATTCGTCCATTTACCACAGCAAGCATCGAGCGCATTGACGAAGAGACTAAGGGTTACACGCAAACCTGAGGAAGCCTTAGCTAAGAAACTGGAATTGCTCAACAGCTTGCAGATTCTAGGGCAAAGCTTTTGGAAAGAAGATTTAGGAGGACTGGCCACCAGACTGTACCACTTTGTTCTGCTCTCCCATTGCCTCGAACAATGGCATTAACGAAAAGACCCACCGCCGATGAGGCTGCACCGGTATTGCTCCCTTCTTCTTTTCCCTTGAGATAAATCCCAGACAAAGCACCAAAAGTCAAGCATCCATAGCTCCGGAATCGGAATCCTTCAACCGTTCAACTACCTGAGCGCAGCCGTGGAACCGAAACGTATACTACAAACGTAGGAGAGGAGGTGGAGGCACTCTTTTTTCACGGCGGGTTTGGGATCGGAGCACGAATCAGTTGAGAACCATGGGTAGGGTTTCGGGAGAGATAGACTGGTATGTGTCCCGATCGGCGAGCTTAAAAGATAGAGGTGAGGATCTTCTACTTCAGCTCCGCCATGGCTTGGATAGAAGTGAGGGAGCCGGAATTGGAGGATGACCTAGCTGCCGCGCTCGACGACCTTGCTTGTTTAGTCGGCTCCGCCGCCGAACCGGACGTGGTGGGTGTGCTCATTCCGGAATCGCCGACGAGAGAAGTGGTGAATCGTCAAAGAAGAGAGACGATTTGAAGAAGAGAGACGAGATTTGTCTGTCACTGTAATGAGTAAACGGTTAAGACTGGGGAAATCAGAAATGAGTAGACATTTTCATTGTTTTTCATAAGAGAGACAGAAGAATAATAGTGTGACGTGAGATTGGGAAGAAATTAAAAGGATGATTAGTTTTAATAACATAAAAAGGCCAGTTTCACTTTTTTCTAATTGGTTTTTAACTCGGAGCATCAACGGTCTTTCCCCCTTTCTAAAACCCTTCTCTATCTTCCTTTTACCAAATCCACCATTATCACCATAGAAGGAGAGATACAGAGAGAAACTCAGAGCTCGAGTCCTCCTTCTGATATAAAAACCCTAGATTACTTCTCTAAAACCCTCTACGATTCCCACTCAGAGACGAAAATTCTCCAACCTTTCTATTCCGCTCTTTTCTCGAGGATTCTCGGGACTTTCTTGGCTTTAAAGAACGTTGTGGGGGTGGAAAAATAAAGAAAGAATCAACGAACATCAATTGTTTTTTTCTTCTCATTGCTTGCTATGGAATCTGGTAAATCTCGATTGAACTCCTGCAATTGATTTTCTCCCTCTAGATTTTCCTATTATTCTTTAGCGGGAAGTGATTATCCAGACGCCATAGCCATGAATTTCGATTGTATTCTAATTTCTTTATCGCAGGGCTGGATCGGAGAGGTTGTTGTTTGTTCCATTGATACTGCTCCGAAGGACCTGAACAAATGTCGGGCAAGATGGCATCCGGCGGTGCTGGCCCGTGCATAGTCGACGGATTTGAAAAAACGGACGAGAAGTTATGTTCAGCTCTACTGAACAGAACCCTGGACGGGATTCCCACCCTTAGTCCTGACATATTCAGTGTCCAGCCATGGAGTCTCTCTGAAGAATTTCTTCCTACTGTCGAGAGAAGTTTTTTGTTCTTAGTGAAAAACCCTCCAGAAAATGACTACCCATTGATGACTGAGCAGGTCTATACTTGGAGGACAAAACAGTGCAAAAGAGAAGCCTCGTAAGAAGGCAAAGAACAGTGCTGATTTGAGCAACCCAGACACATCTGTTTGTGTCTTGAAGAGAAGGCCATCTGCTCCGGATGGTCTATGCTTAAGTATTCACACGGACCAAATTTCTTGTTTTGCGTAACCAGGAAAGCCTCTGCTGATTTGAGCAACCCAGACACATCTGTTTGTGTCTTGAACCAACAGGTTCGCTCTCCTCCTGAGCAGGTAGAATTTGCTCCTCACCGTGCAAAAGAGAAGCCTCGTAAGAAGGCAAAGAACAGTGCTGATTTGAGCAACCCAGACACATCTGTTTGTGTCTTGAACCAACAGGTTCGCTCTCCTCCTGAGCAGGTAGAATTTGCTCCTCACCGTGCAAAAGAGAAGCCTCGTAAGAAGGCAAAGAACAGTGCTTCTGAGCATGCCTACAAGGATATTTTGACAAGTCTTCCTAAGCCTGGTGGTGGAGAGTATGGAAAGTACTACTCCTTACCAGCTTTGAACGATCCAAGAATTGGTATGGTTCCTCGAAAACTGCTTTGCTGTATATAATTCCCTCCATCAGTTCCGTTGTAATGGATTTCTAATGAAGGTACGTAACACTTTGTTTTGAATATTGTAGATAGATTGCCATACTCTATAAGGATACTATTGGAGTCGGCAATTCGTAATTGTGACAACTATCAAG